TAATATGTTTGATATACCGAAAAGAATACGACATGTAAAATTTATTTTTCCAACAGCGTAAATAAAGAATAATGGAAATTGTTTTATTGAAAAATCTATAATATTTCGATTTATTACTTAGTCCAATTATAAATATATCGAAAAATCATGGAACACCAATGACTAGTTGTAAGTCATTAAATGATTTGTATTTATTCGAATTAATGTTTTTTATATAGGGTTTGATGTTTATGGTTTTGATGAAAGTGCTAAAGAAGATCAAGAAGGTATTGAAAAAGCATCACAACTTTGTAAGATTATTTCTTAATGATAAATTTTATATTTATTAATTTCTTATTGTTTAGTAAATAGTTTTGTTGAAGACGAAATTAAAAATGGAATTCCATCAGAGCGTATAGTGAGTAAAGAAAGATTTTTATATTATTAATTATTTCTCTTTTTTTTTTTGTTTGATGTTTTATTTTAGATTATTGGAGGATTTTCAATGTGAGAATTAATTCTAATGTTTTTATTGTCTTTTCATTTCTTTCGCTTAACAATTAGGGGTGGTGCATTGGCTCTTCATACAGGTATGAAACATCCATACTCATCTTGTTTGCTTTTCCTTTATTTATATTTTTTTGATCGTATATCTCAGAAATCTTGAAGAAGTTTCATGGTAGATAATTCGTTTTTTTTTTATTTGATAGTGCATATCAGTATGTAGTACTTCTATAATTAGCGCTACATCTTGATATGCTCTTTCAAAATAGGCAAAAAGAAATTAAATATATAGATTAAGAGACTACAAAAAATTTTGAATTGTCATATGAACTATTTTTGATTCTTGTTTGTTAAATATCTCGCGAAACTGTCATAATAAAGAGCTGAAAATTTTAACATAGCTTCTTTATTACAGTCCTAACACAGTCTGAAAATTTCATGTGACTTGAATATACCTGGGCGAAGATATATTTATGCATGGTTTGTTTCTAGCATTGGTATCTCCTCATACACTTGGCGGTGTTTTAGCTCTTTCAGCATGGCTTCCTTTACTGACTACTTTTCCTAACGTTAGTTTTATTATTTAACAGAAATTAAATACGTCGACTATTTTTTTTCATTTCTAGGCACTTGTAGCTGGTGATAAAAAAGTTAATTTACCGATTCTTCAATGTCATGGTATATTAGATATAGAAAATAATATATTGAAAGTATTGTTTATTATGATACATAGGTAATAAAGATTTGATAATACAAATCAATCGAGCTCGATTATGTGAAGAGAATTTTAAAGCAATGGGTCTTAAAGAATATATTTTTAAAGAGTATGATGGTATGGATCATACAAATTGTGGTCAAGTAAGAATTTTATTTTCGATTTTCTCATCAATCAAACTTTTATTTCGTTGAATGTTTCCTTAGTCTAATTGTTTCTGTTTTTACAATTTATAGATAAAGAATATAACTAAGTCAACTTTTTTTTTTATTTCGATCTTACTAATATATAATTTAAGTTGAATCAAACCTGCACATTTCTACATATGCGAGAACATACTTTTTTTTACGATTGGCACATAATAATTAAATGAATGAATAATAAATTCAATTAATATTGTTCATCTTTCTATAAAATCAATAATCATATGACTGATTTCGAGCTTCTGTTCTTCTACAGGTCGACAACATCCTATAAATCAATTGATCTAATTGACATAGTATGTCAAAGAATGTGGATGTCGCTGATCTGAAGACATACCTGAGTTTTGATTTAAATAAAATGCATCAAATATAGTAGTAAGATACAACACTATTAAACTTTATAATACATAAGTTCGGTAGATTAGATTCAATTTTTTTTTCTCAACATCTACAAAGTTATTCATGTGAATGAAAGAGAAAATCATCAAGTTGTGTTTCATTCTTCGAAAATAAGCATCGTTAGTTTGATACTTACTGTCATCTAAATGCACCACTCAGTAATAAAACCAATTAAAGATAAAGAATACTTATTATTAATTGAACACAAGTATCTATAAGATCGTATGAGAAATACAAACATTTAGTGACGTTAAAAAGTTTATAGAGTCTAAGAAATGTCGAGTTAAACACAACAGCGTTTTCTTTTTATTTTATACATAGTTTCATAGAGTATATAATGAAATCTAATTGTAAATATTGAGAAACTCTACTTTTTGTTATCTATTGAATTCGTAAAATGTTTTATACTATGAATAAATAAACAAATACTAGCAACCAACTGACAATAGTGGTAAAATTCTATGAGAATTGTTTATAGTCAAAACACTATACGTCAATGTATTAATAAAGTGTTGGTGAAACGAGACAAAATTCTTTCTTTTCTTTTTTTATTATTACACTAGTTCATGTGTATGTGTGTGTTTTGTTTGTCTATTTTAGGAAATGAAAGATATAATTGATTTTATCGAACAATATTTACCAAAACGAGATTAATTATTAATTTGTGATTTTAACTATTGATTGTCTTGTTGATTGTTTTTTTTTAATTGAATATAATTTTTGTTATCTTTTTCTTTGCTACTTATGTTTTTCTTTTCACATTATATTATTTCTTGAGAGTGAAAGAGAAAAAAAAACTATTTTAAAAATCATATGTTTCAGTTGTTTTCTTGTTTTTGAATGGGAAATTCATGTTCAACGACATGGCCATTAAATCTTTGTTTAAAATCATCTGAAACATCAACACAATCAGATGATGAAACTAGTTTATCAAAAAATATGGCTGAATCAGCCATTATTTCTACGACTGCCCAGCATACAGCTACGGTAAAATGATTAAATTTACATTTTAGAACATATCATATTTATTCTTCTATTTAGGTTATTTTCTTACATGGTCTCGGTGATGTTGGGTATGAAAATTAATTTTCATTTTTTTTTGTATATATTTGAGACAATACTTTCGTTTTTTTTTTAGAGGAAGTTGGCATGAAGTATTTAATACGTATCGTATTGCAAAATCTCTTCCACATGTGAAATTTATTTTTCCAACAGCGTAAACAAAAAGAATTAATTTAGCCTTTTTTTTTATGAAACACGGTCTAACAGAGCTGTTGAAGTATAGGACTAAAAATTTAGATCCCGACCCAGCCCGCTAAAGTCCATAAGATTCAAAATTTTTCGACCCAATCGAACCGTAATTTGATATTCTCCATGAAATTTTTTCAAATTGAAATTGAATAGTCACCTCGACGGTACGAGATATTTTTCTCCAGTTTTTTTACATTCGATGACTAGCCCGCCCTACACATTTCTCAGACGATTAGAGTCCAACGAATCCAGCGGACTTCACAATTCACAGGCTGTGACATATCGTATATGAATAACGTCTCGTTATGATATATAAACTACTTTCTTATTGCATTTCGGGAAAGGACAGTGAAGAAATGTGTGCGAAAATAGATAGAAGAAAACAATCTAGATGTGATTAGCAACAGTAACTATAACGTGTTTCACACTCTAATTTCGTAGCAATTGCACTAACAGCTTTTTCATTAATGCTTTATTGTTTATATAATAGTCCCGTGCAGAAAGTAACATTGAATATGGGAACGTCTATGACGAGTTGTAAGTGATAATAATGAAGATTTTATTAATTAAATATGATGATTTCAATAGGGTTTGATATCTTGGGACTTGATCAACAGGCAAAAGAAGATCAAGAAGGCATTGAAAAATCATCAATATTTTGTTAGTTTTTTGTTTTGCTTTTTTTTTCTCATATATTTCTGTTTACATTATTTTTAGTAAATCATCTTGTTGAAGAAGAAATTAAACGTGGAATTCCACCTGAACGCATTGTAAGTATGAGAATTTCTTAAAAAATTCATTACATTCTTTTTTGTTTCATAATATTCAATTATAGATAGTCGGTGGTTTTTCTATGTAAGTTTTTGAATTAAACTATTTTTTTTAATATTTTGTATGTCAAATGAGGGGTGGTGCAATTGCACTTCATGCAGGTATATTTACATATATATATATATCTATATTGTTTCTGTTATCTTATTATTTTTCAGCTTTGACATGTCCTCATACACTTGCAGGTGTTGTAGCTTTATCAACATGGCTTCCTTTATCAACAACATTTCCGGATGTTAGTTTTATTATTTAAAGAACTATATACATATTAAATAGATGTTTATTATTAGGCACTTGTATCAGGTGATAAAAAAGTTAATCTACCTATTCTTCAATGTCATGGTAAATAGTAATAGAATGATAAAAAATTTACAAAGATTTTGTTTTTTCATATATAGGTGATCAAGATTCATTGGTTCAATTAAGATGGGCTCGACTTACTGAACAAGGTATTAAAGCAATGGGTTTTAAACAATATACATTTAAAGTATATAATCATATGGGACATTCATCATGTGGCCAGGTATAAAATTTTTATTTAGTAAATCTTTTAAATCGATCTAGATTGTTTTGATTTTGTTTTAGGAAATGAAAGATGTTTGTTCATTTATTATACAATATTTGCCCAAAATAGCTTAACAAATAATATCTAATATCTAATTTTTGTATATTCTTAAAATATTGACCTATATTTGAGTATTTATTTAGTATATAATACATATATATGTTTGTATATCTGTGTGATTTTATTGTTTGTTTTTGAGAAAATAAGAACTATTGTTTGAATAATAAATAGATAAAAAAATTATCAATGATTAATTCTTACGAATCAAAATCAATGAAAATAGTTTAACATTTTTTTTTTCATTATTTATACTAATTATCATGCTTATTTCTGATGTCAGATTATTTAAGGAATATATTGATTTACTTTTTATTCTGATTATAAAACAAAACACATTTCAGATGGATGTATACATGTCTATAAAATAACATCAATTTCAATAAAAATCAAAAACAAATCTATGTAGTCAATCATTTGTTTTTGTTCTTTTCTTATTTTTTTTTGAAAGAGTTTTGTTTATATATTGAAGAATATTTATTGTAAAAGAAGTAAATCAGTCTATATTATCACCATCAATTATAAATCCATTCTTTTTCATTGGTGCTTTATCCCAATGTTCAGTTATACCAGCTGTAAAATCACTTCGTACTATTTTACCACGATTAATAACTTGTCCATTTTGTTCTTCTTTAATATAAATACCTTCAACTGGACCATCATAAAATTGAGATGGATAATGAACCATTTCTTTTAAAATATTATCTGCTGGTCTTGGTCCTCGATACATAATTGGTACTAAATTTAAATTAGTTTGTTCAAATAATCGTTCCAATATATCACGATCAGTCCATGTTTGTGTTTGACGATCATATAAATCAAAAGCAAGAAATCGATCAGGTAATCTTGTATAAGGTATTGAATGTGTTGCTACAAGCCATTCACCATAAAGAATATATCGTTCTGAATATGAATTATCACGATCTAAAATATGATAAAGACTTTCACGATGTGTTTCAATCCATGTATAAAGTGGACGAAATTGTACATGTGTTGTTGATGTTATATAATGTGAACGATTTTGTACAAGTAATTCTCTATCTACTGATAATGAAAAACCCATATTAGCACCATCAACTTTTTCTGTTATAACAACATATGGTGTATGATTTGTTTGATTAAATGATACTAAAAAATCATCTGCTGTAGCAGCACCTAAATTCATAATATGACCTGTACGTAAAAATTTTAATATACCAATTGGTGTTAATCGTTTAATTAAATCATTAGCTGCATCAAATGATCGTATAGTACATATAGCAATAAATCCTTCATCAAGTTTTGGTTTTTCCATTTGTCTTTGCATACTTTGAACAGCTGTTCGTACACGTTGACCAGGTATAAGTGTTGGATGATCGGAACGTTGTTGTGCACGTGATATACATAAATCTGGATTATAATCAAAATAAATACATATGGGTTTTCGTGCCCAATGTGCAAGTGCAAGCCATTGTTTACGATCTTCACGATCTGTATTACAACGATCTAAAATTGCTTTAGAATATTTTCCTGGTCGACTTAATTCACGTTCACATATATCACGTGATCTTGTTTCATCTTGTGAAACAATTGTCCAACGATCATCACGATTTAATATCATTTGTGCTACATAAGATTTTCCTGAACCTGGTATACCACAAAGCATTATTAAATCAATATTTCCATCTAATTGTCCTTCAATTTCAAGTGGTATTCCTTCAGGTTCAGTAGGTAATGGTGGTAATGGTGATTGTCGTTTCCATACAGTACTAACAAATGTATGTATAAATCGTTCTTGTTCTTCTGTTTCAATACTTCCAGGTCTTAATTGTCGTAATTTATCAATAGCTTCACCAGCTGACATAAATGGTTGTGTCCATTCTTGAGCTGTTGGTGTTTGAAAACCATATATAGCTAAATAACAAGCAATCATTGTACCAGCTCGACCTTTTCCACCACCACAATGAATTAATAACGGTGTTTTAGTTGGATCATTAATTAAACGAAAAAATAAATCAACTTGTTCAATTGTTGGTGCTCGATAATTTTCAATAGGAAGATGTGTATGTGAAATTGTTTTATTAAAAAACCATTCTTCAGGTAAAGGTTTTTCTTCTGTTAATGTTATAATATGTCGAATACCAATATGAGCAGATGCAAGAGCATCAATATCACGTTCATGTCGTGGAGTTGACATGATAGACAAAAAAAATGGAACAATCCAACGAAAGTAACGTGGTAATGAAAACATTTCTAAATGAAAACAAATAATTTACATTCAAATACAGATGTCAAACTCAAGAATTCTTTGTTATTTCCAGTTGAATCATTTTTTTTTTACTCATCAGTTACTTAAAGACATTAAACAAAGTTTTCAACATAATTTCTGCAAAGAATAAAACTACTTTAATCTTGCGAGAAAAATCTCCCAACTGATTAAACGCTTTGGAGTCAAGACTCTGTGCATCATGTGGCCTCTTATGAGCTATGAATACCATGAAAAGATTTCGGATCCTTAGCTTATTGTTGTTGAGATATTGCATTTTTATGGTATTTTTCAAATTGATATTGTGGTTCCCCTGAGAAACGGTAGGAAAATTCGATTTCAAATTTCGACTGGAAATTTTGCGCAGAAACAAATCTTTATCAGAATAGTGTATTGTGAAAGTTTTCGATCTTTTGATTCGCTTCTTTCCTGAAATGAGAACATCAAATTTACCTGTGTATAGGAGCAGTCTAAAAGACAAACTTTTATCATAGCTGCATCTTAGGGTATTTATAATGAAAATATCTTAAACATTCACAATAAACTATTCTTTATGAGGTCAGTCTTTATATGGAAATTTTTAACTCGAAGTGCGAAAATAAATTTTCCTAGTGTTTCTGAGTGACACCGATCCATCTTGCATTCTTCTTTAGTATTCCGTTGGTATTATTCCCTTTTGCTTTTTTTATTGCTCTCTCTCTTATATTAATATCTACCTAAATTTTGATTTGTCTGTCGTGGATCAATAAAAGGCACAAGAAGATGTTCACGTGGATTTTGATGAAATAGTGGTTGTTCATTTAAATAAATGTTCATAAAACGTTGTCGAATTATTTGTGTCCATGGTGTAAATAAATTTATTTTTAATTCTTCTGGAATTTGATCTAATTCATTTTCACCAAAAAGACATTCCCATTCAGTATAAATTGATGCACAATGAAAAATTTTTTTATAACAATAATCTTGAATTTTTTCATTTTCTTGTCCATTAATAAGATGTATAGTTTGTGCATAAGCTAACATTGCTAACTTATATTGTTCATTTCGTCGTGCAATATCACCTAAACGTAACCAACCTTTTTCAGAATTAGGAAAACGATTACACATTTCTCGTGCATAAATAAATACTTGATCATATTGTTCAGATAAATTATATGATAAAACAAGATGATCAATTATATTTATATTAAGATTTTCAATTGAAAATATTGTACGTAATGAATAAAGACTTTTATCAATTGAATGATCATCATTATTACTTAATGTTATATGAAATTGTTTATAAGATAGACCATATTTTCTTCGAAAAAGATTTCCTGCATTCCAAATAATTACAACCCAACAAACGCCTTTTGGATCACCACCAAGACCAAGAGAAAATATATGTTTTGTATCGATTTTTGTTGCATTATCATATAAATCATCGATTTTATTTGATAAATCTGTTGTTAATTGACGTAATTCATCTTTAGTTATTAGAGTTATATGATAAGGAGATGATGGTACTGTAGTAATACCAGAACTAGTGACAACTTCATTAGCCATCATATCAATACGAGAACCAAACGCACCAATATAACCACCGCCACGTTTTATATCTATATCATTTTCAGCCATAATGATACTCGTTTTATCACTAAGAAAAAGAATAAAAGATCAATTTCTAGTTCTATTTCAATATGCAATTAGACAGCTAATGAAAATAAATAAAATTCTTATTTACCGATAATCGATAATAAGTTTGTATCTGACAGTAGCAAACTAATACGTTTACTATTGATTTCGATTGACTTCTATATGATTTATACTAAAAATGTTTGTCTTAAATTTCATAATGACAAGTAATAATTTATGAGGTTATTGCACAATTTCGACATTTACACACAACAACCCCATGTGTTTGTCATGTCTTGTGCAATAACGTAATGTTACTACATCGTTTCTGCTTTCGCATTTATTCTGTCTCGAGTACGACATAAACAAAAAATAAAATGAATCAGATAAAGAAAAGAAAAGAAAAGAAGAAAACCACATGAATTGTTATCGACAAACTTGTATTGTGCTTTTCTGAAGAGAAAGTTAACGTAAAAATACTACAATTTTTACGGAGGCAAATAATTCGAAATGCATTTCATTCATAAACGATTATATAAATTAATATTTGAAGAAAATAAAGATATTCACCTAAGATAAAGTTAGTAGGAGCATCTCTAGTGAATACACTGAGTTTAGGATACTCTCGTACGAGTTGTCATAACAACATTTAGGTACTTTATGAATTTATAGCACTTGACTACAAAATGCTTCTAAATGTTCAATCTAATAACTTGTTGAAAAATTTTTCATAGAATGCTATAGAAACTAGACAGGTATCTGATAAGTACACATCTACTAAGACAATTCTCAGCAGGATACATAATCGAGATCCTGTGACATGCTAGTAACAACGTATCCAAAGATGTACTTTGCTGAAAATTGATTCAGTACACTCACTGGGAACTTCGTTTAATGATTTGGAACAAATTCAATTGTAATACCAATAAATCTAAATATGATACAAAGCAAAAGATTTTGACTCTATTGAACAATATTAATGTGTATTTTTTTATCTCATTTATTTAAAAATTTATTAATATAATCAATAATTGATTTGAAATAAGAGACAAGTTTTCCACGGCAAAACAATAGTACTGCTAGGGTGGCATTTCGTTTAAATATAGTACCGAAATATTAAATTCGTAATTAGCATGTTTTAATAGAATATATTGAACTAATCTCTAAAATAAACAAGATCATCGAGAAATAGAACACAAATTTGCAAAATAAATATCTCATTTTGATCATAACTATTTTGATTATTAAATATACGTTGTACATCATTAATATAACTCGCGACGATAATATGTGCTAATCCAAGCCAAAATAAAAAAACAAAAATAATTATCATCAAAATATTTCTTGAATTGAGTTTCATCCTGAGGTAGTAATACATTACTAAACAATTGATTGAATTCAATTCAATTATCAAATAAAAACTGTGGTAGTAAACTTGAAATCAGTCTATGTAATGTTAAATATCTATTTTGATATACAACAGTTATAAAACGATAATAGCAAAAGCTAGCGTGGAAAAAACGTTTTACTTATCACGTGAATGAATAAGTTTCATAAGGATGGAAATGATTATGTGTGAAAGATTCACTCAAGAACACAAAACTTATTCAATCGCATTAATAGTCATCAATGACGTACATCATTTAATGAATTCTTATATAAGAAGGATATTTTTTCATTCGATTTCACTCAAATATCATTAAAATTCTTCAAAGTTTGTTCTGTGAATGAATCGTTGTCCTAAAATGATTATTTAACAATTATACACCTGTTTTCTATTGATGGTTACGTAGATTTTTTGAATAACAATGTAATAGTAAATGAGCTATTTATATATATTAATGATTTAATTATTCAATAGAGAATCAATTATAAGTTGAATTCGAATAGAATAGATTTTCGATATGATGTCATTCTCATCTAATTATTCATGAGTGAAAAACAATGAATTTTTTTTTAATGTTTTTTTCTACACAGAAAACCCTAATATTTAGTTGTTGGTGAATAAACTATAATAGATGGCGAATAGGCAATCACAAAGCTTATGTTATAGATTTTATATTATAAACAATTGTACAGCGAAAGAAAGATATGTTCATACGATTTAATTTGAAGTCAAATATACTCGCCATATGAATTAAAGTCGATGTAAACTTATTAGAAATTTATTGTTTCAACACATAAATATGTATTACAGATTCTTTACGATTACAATACAAAAAAAAAATATTTCACAATATAAAATTATGTCAATAAAACACTTAAGCAAAATAAGCTGAATAAAGGTCTCGAGAACGACCTATTACTGCATTAGCAATCATACCAGAGTTAAAATGAAGAAAAGTATCAATTGGTGCTACCATGGCATAATCCGCTACAATTTGATCACGTGTCGAACCTGCCGCACGTAAACATAGATAAATAGGACCAAAGATAAGAAATAAACATGAAATAACACATAAAACACGAACTAATGTTGAATTTGAAAAACGACTCATTTTTGATGATGAACGAGCTAATATTCGATGATTTTCCATAGGAAAACTCTAGGAAATAAAAAAAAAACAACAATTTATTTTCAATCAATATAGAATATTATACAACTTACAATACTGATATGATTTCGATAACCTGTTGAATAAATTAATGCTCGAATTTTATCTCTTAATTCTTGAAAATTCCATCCAGCTAATTGTTTTTGACATTTAATTTCTCTAATATTTTTTTCTGAACGTGTATATTGTTCAAGAGCATCTCTAAATGAAACAGCTTGACCAGCTTTAATCGTTTCTTTTGATGGAACAACAGCTACACGCCACCATTGTTGTGTTACATACGATGCTAAATCAATAGTAAAATTAAAATCAGTTACATTACGAGTATGATGTACAGCACGCGTATGACACTGACCATCGGCTGACCGATGGTGTTCATATGTTGTATAATGCTGTAAAATAATAAATTCATATAATTTTTTTCGAATAGATTTATACAATACCTCAACATGATAACCATGAATATTAACAGCTATACATGGTTTTTCATTGAGATAAGTCATAAAATAAAGCCATAATTGATCAGGATTTTTATCAAGAAGTGGATCAAATGAAAGAACACCTTCTTTTTTACGTTCAGTTTCTGCTCTGGATGGTTCAGTATATGGAGTAACTTCATTATAATGTAAAATAGCACTATTAGGCACTATTGATATATCAAAATAGTTAGGCGGTAATTCGCCTATATCAGGTGCAGATGCATTTGCATGTTCATTATAATTCAGTGGATCTTTATTATTATTTGACATTAACGTATTCACATCTGAATTTGAAACACCATCTGATGGAACTGTCCATGCGGGTGTATTAGCTGATGACATATCTACATTCGTAAAACCAGTTGGTGCAATCTTATATTGTGCCATTTTGACTGTCAAATGCTCTTCTGTCTGTGTTCTGCTCAAATGTGAGTTTATATAAAGGTGTTAGATAAACTGACAAAAATAAACATTTACATAAGAATTTTTGATATCAACTTGATTCATATGCACTGTAATTTCAGTCATATGTTGTAAGAGAACTATGACGTAATTGCTCTCTAAAATTATCAATATAGATCTTGACAAAGCAAAAGCATTCAACTGACATAGTCTTAAGAGTTTTAATTTCAAAATGCAACTTATTTCATCATCATTAGGAAACGCAAAAAAATTGCTTTAATTTTCAATGTTATACTGAATTTGTTATAAGCATCATGCTGAAATAAATCAATTATAATAAAGTGCCTTCAATATTGTTCTAATTTATCTTGTATTCTTGAATCAAGAAAAATTTCACATTCTCTATTTCATAAAATTTAGTTTTGAGTTTTCAGAGCAAATTAAAAATATTATCTAATCTTCTTTTATAGTATTAGATTTAATTTTACATTTTAATTTTCTTCATAATTAGTCAGACGAGTACGTCAATCTTTTATCCATTTGGTTCTCATGTTTAACGCATATTTTCCATCGGAAAGTATGCTAGTCATCCATTATTTTATTAATAATACTAATAAGTTCATCATCTTAAGAATGAGAATGGAAAAACACTGACATTTTTGCACTTGGACCATTAATGACGTCGCGCAAAAATTTTACGCACCAAGAAATAGAGCGAATGATGCAATAGACAACGAACAAAGCTACAACTCATCTAATTTCGCGAGATGATTGCTATTGAGATATCAAGTTTGTGTAGGGACGACTTCTTCATTGTTGTTCCTATAACAATTTCCTTTCCGCCTTTGAACAGTACGATTTTATTCAGTTCGATAGAATGAAATACTATCTATCCAAATATAGATGAACTTTTATATTTCGTTTTGAAAATAAACAAAAAAAAATGTTTTCTCAATGAAAAGAATCTTCAAATGAAAAAAAATTGATGCAGTTTTGAGATGATCATATATAACCTGATATCTTTCCCATGAAATTGTCTACACATTTTTGGAGCCAATTGGATACATTGCAGAATATGGTTATACCAACAACAACATGTAAGTGTCATATGATTTCATACAGCAATTGCAGTTAGAATGATTCGTTATAGGTTTAGTATGTTATTATGGAAACTGGATCTCATATTTGTATCGTAGTAATCATTAAAGCAACTATAAGCTCAGTGATTTCGTTGCAAATCGATCTCACTTATACATAATGACTTTTACTTTACAGAATTTATACTATTTGACAACAATAAGAATTCATATCAACAAAAAGTCTATGACCTATAATTGGTAATACGTTTTCCCACACTCCGCAAACGAAATTAATTTCAGTTCTCACATTCATCATTTGCTGTCATAGATTCAGCTTTGGCTTTCTATTTTAATTGAATTCATGATAGTGCACATTAGAAAGTTAAGACTCACTGATCATGCAATATTGATTGTTTGCTCCTTTCACTATGTCAACGTCACTCTTCTTGAACAGATCTTTGCAGCCATCACACGAATAGCATCGAAGATCATCTGTCGATTGGCTCAAAACTATAATAATCAAAAACTTATTATCTATCAAATGAAGTCTCACTGTATCAATTTTCTACTTAGAAGAAGAAGGCAGATCGAGAACGAGTGTCTAAGAACCAACATGTGAAGATAATGTATACGCCAACAATACAGTCGTCTCGTAAGCAGTAAGTTTTGTAATTGGATTCTGATCTTTTTCTATGTGCCCACATATATAGAATTAGTGGTCGAAACACAAGAGAAGCTTTGAAAATGCACGAGCAAACAGAATCCTTGATAAAATTGTTTCGTCAACACACTCGCTTATAGCATTAAAGTGTCTGTCACAAGTAATCAAGTGGGTCAAATTGAGAGAGGAGGGATGCGTGTTGGTGGAGAAAAGGCAAGAAAGAAGATACGCTCCTACTCAACAACCCATCCTTACCCCCAACCTTCTTCGAGAGTACATCAATTATCCAGATAATTTCTGTTAAAAACTGCGTTGCACTCGTTCTACTTGAGCCTTGTCGATCTTGTTGCGAAAATATTCTATATCTTGGTGACATTTGACATAAAAAAACTAGTGTTACTAAGAAACCGAAATTCTTCAGCTGAAAACATTTTTATAAATTCGACAAAACGATATAAAACACAATTCAAGCAATTTCCACAAACAAGAATAATATCTTATAGGAGCTACTCTGCAATAATCTCGATTTTAATGATCAACAATATGTTGAACAATCAGATGACAAGTACTGCTCTTTTGATTAAATCAACAAGCTATCATAACAGATTATCATCGTTAAGATTGAGGCCATAAGTGTGACAACGATGGTCTGCTTGAATGATGGTGAGAGTGTGGTAATGTGTGGTGAGTATGAGTATTGGTGTACGTGAAGTTCAGGCATCGATCTATGTCTGAGCTTAGCGATAGGTGTGCGTGTTGACAGGCAAGGTGGGGGGGAGGGAGGCGTGATGACGTGGGTCTCAGTACGATATGAGAGTATTAGGGTGAAGAAGTGACGAACACCTTTTATTCTTCTACTTTTTACCTTATTAATTTTATCGTTCACTATTCAGCAAGATCTATTCACATTGGATTCAGTAAAGGAGAGTCGATAACTGACGAAATTGGTGCTCTCGACAAATTTGATTTTCTTCTGTGTTAGACATTCAGACAAGCTGCGACGGCAGTAATCCGTGGTAGAAGAAGCTTCACAATACTTTTTGTGTGCCGCCCAGAGCGAGAGTAATAGTGCACGTTTTTCATACGTATACAATATCTAACAATAGATGACAACAAGCTGTTTTCATCCATCTACATAGAAGTCGGCCAGGCCAGCATTCACGATTTGACCAAACTTCCACATGCTGCTAATGGTATCAAAGCATCAACCTAATAAAAGTATTGTAAGATTACCGTTCCCAAGACATGATATTGGGCTTTTTACATTTCATATTTTGTAGATGTCGATCAGAAAAATTATAACTCTGAGGGTGAGTAGGAATGTGGATGTGGATGTGGATTTTCTCTAGATATCCGCATCCACACCGAGACACTAGTTGCAGATACTCATATTCTACACCTTCCATAGATTCAATCTTTTCGGTGTCCTAAGAATATTAAAACAGTTCGCTTGGTTTGCGTCAATGGTTCTCTTCTCTACACTTGTACTACGCTTGAATTTGACGCCTGCTTTATTTTGTTATTTTGATGTGTTGACAGTGCCTGTTCTAACCCCTTTCTTTTAGCCCTCTCATTGCTATTTTTCAAGTAGATTTACTGTTTGCGTTCTATGTATCCTCGGAAACTGCTATATTTTTTCTGCATGTTAGTTTTGAGTTTGTTTGCGAAAAGAATCTTCAAACGATATTATACTTCAATATAGAATTGGACTCATGGATTAGATTTTTTTCTGGATTTGTTACAGTGAAACTTGAGACAGTTGTATTAGTTATCTTTATGAGCTCAAAAACTGATCAGCACTCTTGTACTCATAATTCGATGGTCAGAATTCTACTCGGTTGAGTTGGAAATATGCAGATTTTGAATTCGGTTTGGTCACTTTCTGTTGATCAACATGACATCAACTTAAGCTTTTGATCGGTAGTTTGAATGAGAGCAAGTTCATGATTTTGATTTTGGCTGTGAGAAGACAGTTCATGTCGAATACAGATTGCTGGCTTCCTAGTAGTTTATAAACCGATTACCGTTGTCAACGTGTGTGCCGTAGTATCTGTATTTGTCGATTGTGGATGAATTTATTGAATAATTCTCTACGTCTAACCTTGCATTCACGGTATCATTAAGAATAAGAACATTGCTTACTGAAACTTGGTTGGTACAATTGTACAGATCTTCTTAAAAAGGATATTTTTCTACGTCGTTTTTATATTCTGTAAGGCCATCAACAACGATGATGATTATTGTTGAGCTATCTTTGAAATGTTCCGTCATGATACATTTTGATATCTTTTCTGATGAATACAGTAGTTTTACTAGTCTAGAACTTATGAACAAAGACAATAGTACATTTTCGTTTTGCTATTACTGAAGAATATTAGAAATGTTATATTATAACACTCAGCGTTTTATAATACATGCTGGGTTGCCTTTATGTGTGTCAATGATGTTCTTGAATCACTATCAGGACGATATTGATTTTAAAGCACCCAAGAATGAATACGTGTAGTTTTTCATGTTTTTTGAGAATTCATACATTCTTTCAGATGACTGCCCTATCATATGCTTGAATTTTGTGGAAGTTCCTTGTATTCCTACGATGAAACAACATACTATTACTCAAAACGTTCTTTTTTTCAATTCTTGTTTTCGGAACCATTGTGAAATAGGCTTCGGATAGCTAATCATGAAGCTCTTTACTAGAGCTCATCTTAGACCTATATATGATGACGTTATCTATCCGACACGGTGCAAAAGTGAAATATTGGATTTTATTGAACAGAAATAGTTCATTCAATTTTAATCCAAATTTATAATCAGTCTATCTCCTACCAACTCATATTCGTCAAGATTAAAAAGTGCAATGAATCGAACCGTCGTGATATTCAATTTTCTTCCAAGATCGAAATAGAAGAGCTCTTCATTTCTAAAAAGAAAAAAAGGAAATTACTGTAAAATAAGGAAATGTTCTTTCTAGTGTTTGACACAAAGTTTAGTAGATACAGAATTTCTTACGGAAATAAAGATCATTTCAATTTCCTAACCATTCTTAAGAAAATTTTTTTTATATTGAACATTTTCATATAGAAAATTAGAAACTATGTTCCGACTAATGATTATGTGTCAAAAGTTTCCTATTTATAAATTTTTTCTTATCATCATAAAAGATATTTTTATCATAACAGAATTTTTAATTAGTACATAACATCTGTTATAATACTTTCTTGTGTTAGAAAAATGAGTAGGTA